CTCTCGGTAAGCAGTCGGGCAGGATCACTCAGACCTGGTGGCCGATCTTTTGAAGGAACTGTCCAATCACAACGAGCGCTCAGAGGAGCGTAAAGGCGCCCTGGTGGAGCTGCTGAAGATCACACGGGAAGACAGCATGGCTGTGTGGGACGAACATTTCAAAACCATCCTCCTCCTCCTGCTGGAGACCCTGGGTGATAAAGATGTACGTAACCTGATAGTTTGTGTACATGTAAATCCCTTTTTTTGTCTCCTTTATTTGTGTTTTCATTGTCTTGATTCAGCGTAATCTGAAGAAACTGAAGGTAGTTTTGTGTGGATGATATTCTTTATGTTCCCATTTCCTGCAGCACACCATTCGAGCTCTGGCTCTGCGAGTGCTGAAGGAAATTCTGAGGAATCAGCCTGCCCGCTTTAAAAACTATGCCGAGCTGACCATCATGAAGACACTGGAGGCGCACAAAGACTCTCACAAGGAGGTACGCAGCTCCCACCACTCAGCTAAAGGCACCGAGCATGATTTTTGTTTCATAAAGTCGTCATCGATATCTGTTAATGTGGCCGTGCCGTGTTGAAAGTGATGCGGTTCTCATGTCTTTAATGACTGAGTAGCGTGTTCACTTAAACATGAAGTTAGTTTATATATGCAAAGGAGCACATGTGAGAAAGACGAATGCCAATCATGATACATAAACAAAAAGCCTGCAGTCAATGAGATTAATGATTATTGGTTTCTAATAATTTCTAATCCCTGTTGTAGCTCACAATAACCTCATAATTAATACTTTACAGAGTGGTTATCAATATGAGCACTAAAAAAAGTGAAGACAGTAAGTCCAACCTTCGACCCTTCACTCCAGCAGTTATTCAGGTTTACTTCTAGAGAAATTTCCCATTCATGTCGGTCAGGTGTGCAGCAGGGGTACAGAGTGTGTGTAAACACAGATCACGTGTTGATAGCAAATTGAACATAAAATACACAAAAATGCACTCAACCAACCTGAGATGAAACATGCAGATAACCAAAAAAAAACATATCGATCACAGAAATTTAGCATGAGGAATTTTTTTTTTTATGTTTTTCAGCATGAATGAATAATATCCTGCTGAAGAAGTGTAAAGTATGCTGAAGTAAAGCACTCTTTAAAGGGGTTCATAAATCCCAGAGGTTTTTATTCTTTATCTTTAAACTTTTTTTTTTGCTTTTTCTGTATTCAGTTTTTCAGTAATTGCGTTAATCTAAACGTGTGTCATTTTGCAGCCAACAAATTTTCACAAAATCTGTGAAACATGCAAAATTCAGTACAGTCCCGCACTGTACTTACCACACACCAGAAGACCATAAAAAGATGTTTTTAATCATAGACGAGTCATTTAAAAAAAGCTTTATAAAAGCCTAAAATACAGGCATAAAGGTGAGGATATATTGTGTTTAAAGCAAGAGCCATGATAGGTTCAAGTATAAAATCAGGACTGAAAGTGCAACAGTAAGAATACATTAGAATAAGTTTAAAATGTAAGCGTTTTCTGGGGAAGTTCTCAGATCGAAATCAGCCTGTAAACGTGTTTTTCCCATCATGCTCCTGGTGGAAATTTACAAGAAGATAAAGTGTTGAGTGGTGGAGGAGCAGCTGCCTCGTTTCTCTGTTTGTTCTAGAAAAGTAAGTCAAAAGAAAAAAAGGGAGACACTGACTGACAGAACGGAGCTCCTGTTGGTTGTTGGAAACATTTATGGGATTGAAGTTCTCTACTTGAGCACAAAATGCTAAACTGGACAGTGAGATTGTCTGAATTTGGGGGGGAAAAGAGACTTTGGCTTTGTCTGACTTAGTCTCATGCCTGTGATACAGAAATCCTGCTGTTGCCTCAATAACACACCAGCTGATTGGATTCACGATGTGTGATATAAAATTGTTAGCAGCCTAATCAGTTAAAAATAAAAAACATGTTTTTAGGTTGTGCGTGCAGCCGAGGAGGCGGCGGCGACGCTGGCCGGCTCCATTCACCCGGAGCAGTGCATCAAGGTGCTGTGCCCCATAGTGCAGACGGCCGACTACCCCATCAACCTGGCAGCCATCAAGATGCAAACCAAAGTAATTGAACGCATCGCCAAGGAATCACTGCTGCAGCTGCTGCCCGACATCATCCCCGGACTCCTGCAGGTCTGAGCCCAAAACAGAAGTGCAGATTTGAATGGAATGTGATTGTTTTAGTTTTGCAGGCTGAAAACTGATCAAACCTCCAAAACTGTGAAATAAAAACTCACATTTCAGAAACTTGAATAAACCGAGTTTTTATTTTTAAATGTGTTGCTGGTGTACTCAGCTTGAATAACACAGACAGAGCAGAAACATCCGTGTCAGTGCCACAGAGGCTTATTTGGACAATGTTCATATTTGGACAGTGGGAATTATTTGCCTTATTTGTCCCTGGAAATGTTTGCGTGTACTCTGCACTCTTGGCGACCCCTCCCACGTTCCTGCTGACCTCGTGTGGGTGTGTGTGCGTGCGTGTATGTGTGCGTGTACGCGCCTTTGATACCTGATGCTCCCCGGTCTCTCCGCAGGGCTATGACAACACAGAGAGCAGCGTTCGCAAGGCCAGTGTGTTCTGTCTGGTGGCTATCTACTCTGTGATTGGTGAGGAGCTCAAACCCCACCTGGCACAGCTTACGGGAAGCAAGGTACTGACCGTCGCCAGCAAGTCTTTCCATTTGCATGTCCTCACAACGAAAGCACTTGAACAGACGCTGCGCCTTATCATCTTCCCATGTTGTTATTTCTCAGCTGGCTCTCAAATTATAAAGCACAGGGTCATATTTGCCCTTCTAGAGTGTCCTTGAGTTATGTAATGGTTAAGGTCTGAGGGTCAGGTTCACCTGACTGCAACCCCCCCACCTCCACCACTCCCCTTTACTAACCACCACCTGGTCAGCTGGTTATTTAAACGGAGTCACCGCTGCAGTCTTCAGCTGCACTCTAAGATATCATCTTAGTGCTAAAATCACTTTGAGTGGATGCAGTTAATCATTAATAACAATCCTTCCTCTTATCAGCAGCTACATTTTAGGGAATATTTTAAAAAAGTGCCTGTGTCAATATTTTGTGTATGATTACTTTTGAGTTCTTTATCCTGTTTAAAGCAAATTGTCCCTGTGATGAGATTCTCCTGAGAAACAGTTTGTGGTTCTCCTACTACAGCATATTTTTGTATTTCCCTCTATAGTTAACTGATTGTTACATATATCAGTAAAGATGTGGACTGACAGCCATTAGAATAACTTTTGGGGGGATTTTTTGTTTTTCTTTGTTTTCCCCCGAAGGGTATCCCCAGGAAGCCGGTCACCAGCACAAACAGTCCAGGCCAGTTCAGTCCAGTTTAGGGACTTCAACTAGCTGCAGCTAGCAGCTCCAGCCACCTGTGTCGCTATCCACCTGTCAGTCAGGGGGGCCACGGCCCTAATTTTAAGTCTCGCTACCATGCAATGGAGTGAGTTATAATTGCATTGACCACCTGTAGAGTTGTTTTGAAGTGGTAAACTACATAAAGACATTCTTGAGGCAGGCTGTAAACTTGTTTATTTCTGCTGGAGCGTGCAGGTGTTTGTGCTTTTCATGTTTCAGCCTCACTCTACCTCTGCTCGGTTTAATTGCATGACGAGATGTCATGAGTGCTTTCATCATTTTAAAGGAACAAGCCAAATATTGTGTACTTTTTGCTTCCTATCGCCCTATCTGACTCATGAAGAAGTTTATTCCTCTTTAAGACAGTCCTGTGCTGATATAAAGAGTAATTTCTCAATTCTTTCCTTTTGCAGATGAAGTTACTGAACCTGTACATCAAGCGTGCTCAGACGACAAACAGCAATAGCAGCAGTTCCTCAGATGTCTCCTCTCACAGTTAATGGAGGTGGTTTCATCCATTCCAAGACTCCAGATCAGACTTGTCTGTCTCTGAGCATCACCCTCCTCATCACGGCTCTGCAGCTCATCCTCTCGACCCATTTTGTTCCTTCGTGTCATCCGCCTCCGCTCTGGAAATATCTGAACGGGACTGCTGTCCTGGTTTCAAGTTGGTGGGGAAGGATTGGACACATTTGGATTTTTGGATTTAGGATATGGCGCTTTCTCCTCCTCCTGTGGGTCCCACCATCTCCACATCAGCTCCAATCTGTTTCTCCTTCATCCCTTCTGCTTTTAGATTTGTTTCTATAAGTGGAAAATATTCACATCAAAGAAATGTTTCAGATCATCTTCAGTTTGGGATGAAATGTCATTTGGCTGGCCCAGTGATGGCAACAAGCCCATAAAGTGTGCAGTGAATTCTGTTTTAAGGGCATGAAGACCAAATATTGCAAGGCGGAAAAAAAATTAGATATGGACAGAAAAACAAAACGAGGAAGTCCTATGTGAGCATTTTAGTTCAAGGCTCATATTTGATTGTAATTTCTTTTTTTTTAATGCGCTCGTTTCTCTTTAGGAGTGGCTTAAAACCCAAACTGTCACGATTACAAAACAGATCTCATGTCTAAACAGAACTGACAATCCTTCACATTTCGTGCAGATCTTTTAACAGAGAACACAAACCACCGTCGCTACATGGAGTGGAAGCTAAGCCTGTTAAAAGCCGTGACGTTTGTGTCGTTTTTAACTTCCTGCTTCCATTTGTGTCTGAGCGCTTACTCTGTCTTACAGGAAGTCCTTTGTAAATACAGCAGATGAGGAGTTGGGGGAGAACAGGCCTTACATTTGTGGACTGCAGAGAGTGAACGGGATGTACGGCGCCGTCACTCTCGGCTCTTTAAAAAAAAAAAGAAAGAAAAACAAACAAAAAAATGTGAATCTGCAGCAGAAGCCTCCACAGCACTCTCAGACATGTGACCGTGCAAACACAGTATTACTCGTTTCCTCTTTCACAGCTTCTGCAATAACCACATAGAAATCAAAGGTGTTTTGTACATACACTTTCTGACCGCTGCTTCACGGAAAAGCAGACTTTTTTTTTGGCTTGCATGAACCTGCGGCACGCGTCAACTCAGTGCTGCGCGGAGAGCCCGGAGCTTCTTCGGCTGTTAAAGTGCACTTTTAACATCATGAGATCACTCGACTCTGAGGAGGCGCTCGTACGGAAAAGGTACACACTCTGTGTTTAATTTATTCTGCTGTAAAGTTTTAAGTGGTGGATTCCTGCTGTGAAGCACTTCATCGATTCCCTGATTGGGAAGAAGTTTCTCAGTCTGATCAGCTTTTAATTATTGGACCTGATTTGGTTTTCATGGTCAGTTGATCTGCTGTAGTTTTTTCTTTATAATACTCTGAATAATGAATAATAATGCTGATTCCTGATTTGTTGAAATCCACTGAGAATGGTCCAACTCTGCTTCTTTAAGGAAATGAATGTACAGAAACAACACAGTGAATTTGCTGGTACTCAAAAGGATTTAACTTTTTCTTTCTCATCGTCCTTCAGCACGCTCATTTAATCCGCTGAGTTTTTACCAGAAAAGCAAACCTGCAAACTGGTGAAAACCCACCAATCTTCTCGCATCTGTCGTCTCGTCGCTGGATCTAAAACAGACGCGACGGCGTTCCTTACAGACTGTTCACTATGCATGTTCAGCAGTCTTTCTTTGGCTTCACGCGCTCTGTAATATTTACACCTGTATTTATATATTTTATTTGATCTTATTGTATTTAGTTCTGTCATGATGAACTGTACAGAAGGTTTTTTGTTTAGTTTTTTTATGTTAACATCAATGTGTGATCAGTTTGCAGCGATGTAAAAAACTGTTTGCTGTAGAAATAAAAAGACCGAGAACTGATCTCAGCTCTTTCTGGCCTTTCACTCCACATTTCACAATTCCCCCCTCTTACTTCATCGTGTGTAACGTTCAGAGATTGGATCAAAGCTCGGACGGCGTCGTCTTTGTTTCCCTCGCAGGTTGGACCTGCATCCGAGCGCTGAGGTGTGCTTAGCGGCTCTGGATAAACATTAACCCGGGCAGACTTTGAGATGACCTGCTCTTAATCTGTCACTCCCTTGAGGAGCTATGAGGGGTGAGCTGCAGGGGTTTCTACTCAACCTGCTGAAACTAAACCTGCAATAAAGATTAATGTGCCTTTTTCAAATTTAAATATCATCATTTAATTGTCATTTAAGCTGCTGTGTTGGCTTTTAGAAATATCAGAGATGATAAATATGCTTACTGACATTCATTTGAGGGCTTTTCCTGTGTTTGTTTCCTGAAAGTCCCCTCTAAACATCCTCACCCACAGTGAGTGTTTTGTTGGCAGTGTCAACAGCTGATCAACTGAAGCTGCTATTAATGCATCACCCGAGGTGGACATTGGTAGTGGGAGGTGTGCTCTCCGCCTCTCAAAGGTCATCCAAGGTATGCTAATAGCAGGCCTGATGACATCACTGGAGCCATATAAGGGGTGTGTGGCGAGGCTGGGCTGCAAACCTCTCTGAGCTGAAATCCGAGGAAGCCAGCAGGCACAACGCTCGCGCCCTCTGCCTCCACGCCTTCTCTGTGGTCCTGGAATACAAGACAACGCCGCCACACTGGAAAATATGCTGTTCTGCCATCCCCAGCCTGAGTCCTACCACCAGCACTCTGCTAGTTACATTAGGTAAAGCACTGCCATGTTGCCAAGCTCCAGAAATGTCAGGATTTCACACACAGGTGCAGCAATTTACCAGCTCCACAGGTGCTCGCGTGGCTTTGGTAAATGTGCTGATTCACAGTGATTGAGGAGCACATTTAATGTGTTATTGACATGAAATGAGTTTTAAAAATGCATTTCAGGCGTTCGTTCATTCAAAGAATTGCACTCAAAATCCACATTTCAGGTTAGTTCCACTTTATCATGTCAGTTTGTAAAAGTTTCCGTTTGATTTGTAGTTTTGGATATCATGATGTGTGTGGTGTTTTTCAAAGTGTACAATTTATGAAATTCAGAAGGGAACACTAACGGTACAGCAACAAAAACACACGACACAGTCATGCACTTACAAATCTGATCAACTGACACCAGATCTGAAATTAAAAGTTATTTTATCTTGTACTTAAGTTTATTTTTTAAACAAAGAAACATAGACAAAAAAGAAAATACCCAGTTTAGCCCACCTTTTTCTTTCTTTAATGATGTATTTAACCTGAACCGTGCTGCATGACAACAAACCTTTGGGCTTAAATGACTGAAGATCAGATGTGACAGCTGGCCATCTCCTCGTGATCTCCTCCAGAGAGGCGTTGGCGCCTTTCATAAAGAACGAAGAAGCTCGGCTCATGGCTGAAAATGGTGCCAAAAGAACCCCGTTCCAGTACATTCTGTGTGCAGCCACTTCACCGGCTGTGAAGCAGCAGGAGGAAGCGCTCACTTATCTCAACCAAGGTACTTACACTGTTAGTCTCCGTGACGACTGTACAGACCGAAGCTCATTTTGTCACACGCAGTCCCAGCTGAAGCATGGGAGATGCTCAGAGTTCAATCCATTCATTTAAATACACTAAGAGAAAAATTTGGTTTGTTCTGCAACAGAAATCAGGTTGAAGTTTTCTGATGTTTGTCCAGTCTAGGGAAGCAAAACCAAAAGTCATAATTGTTTAAATATCTTCACTTTGCTAGTTCTTCTGTTTGTAATACGCTTTAATTATTTCTGGATTGGACTTCCCTCTTCAAAATATGGTCATTGAGGTTTCCAGTGACTCACGTCTCAAACATGATTGGTTCCAGTTTGGCTCATTTGACAAACTTATGATAATATTCCTTAAATTTAAATATTAGTTACTGGGAATTGGTCACATTTTTCTCTTTCATAGTAATGTAGACTGCAAATGAATTTTGGACTTTTTTAGCTTCCATAGCTTCTGTCTTTAGACCTGGATCTCAGAACATCCTGTTTACATAGTTGCACTCACACACTCAGTCTCTGTCATTGATGATTAAGATTTGACATGTTTAATATTTGAAGAATTCATTTATTTAAAAAATCAAGTATTCAGATTTATTGATTGATTTGTGCAAGATGAGCTTCTACGTGAGTGTTAATTTGTCTGACTTGGATCATCTAACCTCACTCATCAACCCCTCTCTCACTCATGTCTTTTGCTCTTTGCATTTCACACTCCCCTCCTCTTCGTCCTCGTCTTCGTTTTCTGCCTTCTGGAACCTTCTGATTTTTTCCGTCTGTCGTGTTTGTCAGTGACGTTTTTATTATCTGTGCTTTATCTTCCTCTGTGTTTCTACGAGTTTGCCCTGCTTATCTGCTCTACAGTAATTTGTTTGCAGTAAAAACACAATGAAAGTGAGCTTGCTGTTCCACGCAGCTTGTGGCCATGCAAAGAGGGCATGTATTGATTAGTAAAGTTAATTGCCATCAGGGTTTGTAGCTTAGTTTTAGAAGCACTGACAGTTAGTTTTAGCGTCCCTCATTGGCTGTGTTATTGACATGTTGTTGTGATAATGTATTATGTCTGATCAGGACGACTAAACGGAAACGTTTTCCAGTGTGTGGCCTTGATATCTACGCCTCTTTTCTGATTGATTGATTTCCTTTTTAAAATTTTTTAATCAGGATGTCTTTAATGTTTTAAAATGTAGGTCAGTCCTACGAAATCCGTATGCTTAACAGAAAACTAGTGGAGTATACAGATATAAGCAGCAAATATGTGAAGGTAGGTGTAAGGTATTGTGTATGTTTGTCTGTTTTATTTGTCTTTCATGTGACCTCTCCCTCTTTCTCCTCTCGTCTGTTCACTTCCCTGGTTCGTCGCCGGTCCCTTGACCTTCCCTTCCACTTTGGGGGTGCTGTATCGACCCTGAAGAGCTTGGTACTATCAGCCAAACTCACTGCTCCTCCTCCTTAAACTTCACATAAGCCCTTTACAGACGTGCAGCTCAGCTTCCTCTCACATTTCCAGCACACACACACACACACACACTCTCTTTCTCTCTTTGGTATGTCTCACCAAGCTTTTCTGCTTCTGTCTGCTTTACCTGGATCTAAGTCACATGATCGTTGTGCTTGTAATTTTTCTGAAATGTTGTTTCCTGAAGTTGAAATGAGAAAAATCTCTCGGCCTTGTGAAAAACAAATAAAAAAAAAACAAAACAAAACTAGCAGCTCTCGGGTTCTCCAAGTTTCAGATGGCAGTCAAAGTTTCTACTTCCTCATTTAACAAGAAGTTAGTCACACACTCACCTAAGAGTTACTTCATTTTGGTGTGAGTGCATCCTCTTACGCGTCTCTGTCGTCAAGACACATCGTAATGTTCGCCGTAGCATCCTAGAGACGCAGGAATGGGACAGGTGGCGTCTGTGCAAACACATGACGTGAAGCATCCAGAGCTGTTTGAGCTCGGCTGCTCAGTCATGCACGAGCCTCCCCCATAAATAGCCCAATGATACATGTCTCTACAGGCTGCTCATTTCATCTGTGGATTTGTGTCTTGTCCACGCAGATTTTAAAAGGTGGCTGTTGCTAAAATTCCAACCTGATCGAGCTCAGTTTCTTACAGATGAGCATAAGCATGATGCGGTTCTATTAGCTGGTAGCTAAAGCTGTTTTACGCAACAGTTGGAGGTGACTGAAAAGAGATCAGAGCTCCCACATGTCATAAGGTTTTAGGATTTGGATGAAAAAGGTTCTGTAAGTAGGTCTTCAAAAGTGGGGTTGAAAGACAGAAGGCGTTAAAGTTGCTCCTTTTTTCCTGTTGACTAAATCACATCCATGCTGTCAAAGGTCAGTGAAGAGGTCAGTCTTGACTTCACTAATTTGTATCATACATTTGGCATGTAAATGTTGTGGTTAGGGTTAATTAAACTATAAATGTCTAATGCCTTTAAGGTTAAGGTACATAGAGCTGAACGTACGTATTGATGTGTTAACATCAACACAGAATTGTGACAGCATACAAATTTCCAGGGTTATTGCCTTTCAGTTGCAAGGGTTTCAGTTTAGTTAATGTCCATCGCATTTTTGTGGATTTTCAGAGGTTTGAAATGCCCAAATTAAATTTGGCCACCATCTTGTAGCTTCTGAAACTCAATTTAGCATGTCGCTAAAACAAAACCAGACCCTAGCCCCAGATGACCTGACCTGATGGATGCTCAGAGATGAAGCATAAACCGGTCCACTGAGAGGATCTTGTTTTGCAGAGACTGTGGGAGCTCTGTCACATAGAAGGAAAGTCACCAGCATTACTGCATGTCTCAGGTATTACATGTAGCCTGACTGACAGCAGGTCATTGGGCTTTTGTGACTACAGTTTTAACTCTGACTGCTTAAGAATTGGTAAGAAAGGAGCTGCAAGTACTCCCTCCACGCCCTGTTTCAGTGCGTGTATAAATAAAACAGGGGAGCCTTTTCGCACTTTGCCCAACATTCCTGCTGTTTAGCTTGGTGCGAGCTGCCCTGTGCTCAGCTCACAGCCGTACTCCTGTCTGAAGCCTGATCCTGCTTGTTCACAGAGCATTGTGCGCGTGGTTTTCCATGACCGTCGACTGCAGTACATGGAGCACCAGCAGCTGGAGGGATGGAAGTGGAACAGACCTGGAGACCGAATCCTGGACATAGGTGAGCTCACCATACCAACATACTCATGGATCACTGATACTCACAGATTTGTGGTGGTTCTTGGTCAAAGTCACTATTTGTGTGTCTGACTGCACAGAAAGTCCAGTAATGGCATGAATACCCAAGTACAGTGAGAGAAGTGATTTTGGAAACTCACTAATATTTGCTCACAACAAAATTAAATATGCTAAACACCAAAGATGAAGATAGTGCTGTGGTTTTCCTCATGTACAACAGTGTGCAGCAGAAGTGATGCCATTATTAATGGCGTGTGGTGAACTGTAGTGTCATACTTAAGTATGAATGATTATGGAGCTGTGCTGGACCAATGCATTGACAGTAATCAATGACCAATAGCCATTTGACGCGTCTCCCAAAAGGTCGTGGCAGATGTCTACCAGGAGGTTTCTTCCTGTTAAAAGGGAGTTTTCCCTTCCCACTGTCACCAAGCACTTTCTCAAAGGGGGTCTTATGATTGTTGGGATTTTCTCTGTATTATTGTGCGGTCTGTACCTTATGGTAAAAAGCACCTTGAGGTGACTGCTGCTGTGACTAAACGCTACATGAACTGAATTGAATCTTAGGTTCTTAGACTTCAGAAGGTTAAACTTTTAAAGTTAAACCTCTCCTCAGCTTCAGATGTTAACAGGTTAACCAAAACACAAATGTCTTCACGTGGGCTTTAAAATCAAAGCTGAAATAAGTGGCTGGCTCATTACTTGCAGATATCCCTCTGTCAGTGGGGATCCTGGAGCCTCGTTCAGACCCTCTGCACCTCAACACCATCGAATTCCTCTGGGATCCCCTGAAGAATGCTTCTGTTTTCATCCAGGTACACATCCAATTCCAGTCTCAGTTCCTTGGAGGTTGTGGTCTTTAGCTGAATTTATTTTTCAGCTCTTCTCTATTCTCTTGTCCTTTCAGGTCAACTGCATCAGCACCGAGTTCACCCCCCGGAAGCACGGCGGGGAGAAAGGGGTGCCCTTCCGAATCCAGGTGGACACTTACACCACCAATGAACACGGAGAATACGTCGAGCATGTCCACTCATCCAGCTGCCAGGTCAAAGTCTTTAAGGTACAATACTTTATTTACTCTTACCTCATGCTCATCTCTGATTTTTAACATCCTCAAATCTCATGATTTACACCACACGTCCTGTTTTTTTTTTTTAAGCCTAAAGGAGCTGATCGCAAACTGAAGACAGATCGGGAAAAGATTGATAAAAAGACCCCTCAAGATAGAGAAAAGTATCAGCCATCCCATGACACTACCCTGCTGAAAGAGGTGAGGCCTGAGAGGACCCTTTGTTTGCCTTCTGCTTTGACTTTATTGAACCTAGCTGTAAATTCTTGGGTTACTTGGATGTTTCTGGAATTTGATCAGATCTGAATATTTCCCCCCTCCTTTTCGTTTTGCTTCTTTGCTCACCAAACCATGTAAACCACTATTACGTTACAGTTTGTTAATATGTCACTTTGCTTGTTGCATTGTTTGTTTTAAAAGTTTTCTTTCTTTGCTGCTGTCAGTGACTGAGGCTTTGTCAGTGCTAGTTTGTTATTCACCTGAAGGAAAAGAAAACCTGAGGAACCATTGTACTGGTCATGTTCATTACAAAAATCACACATGACACTGTAGCAATACTTACCATTACAAACCATTTATAGCACAGGAAGTCTTTATAGGAAGAAAATGAAAAGTGTTTGCTAAGTGTGACATAGATACTTGTTAACTAGTGCTAAATTGGTTAAATAAAATCCTACAATTTCACCTAATCAGGAGTTCAGACTTCTTGGACGGTCTGTTAGTACAGTTAACCGCACAGCAGCCACATTATTGGTCAAATAATCGCATTAAAAATGCTTCCAAAGGCTCCAGCAGCGCCTCTATCTGCGGTGAAGCCTAGCAGACAGCTAGCAGCTACAGCCACCATCCTCCTGTCAGTCAAAGAGGCCACGCCCATAATAATACAAGCTTTAAGTATATATCAAATTAAAAGCCGATTTTGTTACAAACATATACAGATATTATCAGGGGATAAATGAATTATAGAGACCAAAACAGTTTTTGTGTCAGGCTAAAATTCCTTTAATATGGGAGACCATTACAACTGACTCACTGCTGGACCCTCTAGTGGACATTAGAGGAACTGCAGGTTTGCTGTAGCTTTGTCTTTCAGCTCTGGAGTTTGCTAAAGTCGATTAAAGTTACCCGGATCTTTTCAGAATAAAGTTTTCTTCAGAGCTCTGTACTAGACAACCTGTGAAGCTGTATATTACGACACAAATGTCAGCCCGATGAGACATTAACAGACTTTATCCTGGCGCGTGTCTGGTACAAAGTTTGCATGATGTTCAGCTGAGGCCATGTGAGGTTAGAGCTCTCTGTTATTGTAGAGTCTTAAAATAACTGAAATATTGGTGAATGGCACTGCCTCCTCTACCGCCTCTAAATCTCACATTAATGGAATGAAACAAAACTAGTGAGCTAAAGGAGATGAACTACCTAAAGTTGTTACTATGTAGACCATAGGTTTACACACATCTGTGATCACTCGCTGCACTTTGAATGTGATTTTGAACCCTTTAATCTTTGTGAAAAGCTTTCCACTTCATTGCACATCTTCTTCTCTTTCTCTCTTCTTCTCTGTGTGCAGTGCTCGCCGTGGCCCGATGCCTTAAATCTAACCAGCCACAGCACCAGCAGCACGCCATCACCAATTTACCACAGCTCACCAACCTCCTGCACTTTCACTGAGGGGTGAGTAAGCATTCACACCACACTTTAATACTTGTTTGGTGGTTTCCACCGACATAAAACGCATCTCTTCAGTCAAGGTCTGCAGGGGAACTGTGTTTTGTTTCAATTACGGGTTGAAAATTTGAAAATGTTTCTCTGGTGTGATTGTGCTTTACACTCTATGAGAGTACTTTCACAAGCACTAACTTCTGCAGCTATTAGCAGATGCAAAACAGAGAATTTTTAACAGCATATAAAGAGCAGACAGATGTGTCTCAGGGCAGTTAGAAGAAAATACTCAACCAATCATCCCAATGTGTTCTTTCCTCCTCATGTTTGCGTTTCTCTAGCAACTGTTCTCCAAACCAGCAGGGGGAGCTGTTCATGCCCGGCTGCTCTGATGTAAGTAACAGAGACCGGTGCAGTGTGAAAGTGTTAATGTTGCTCTCTTATTCCTTTTAGGCCATTATTTGGAGACAGTGGATGCTGTGCAGCTATACTCATTTCAAGGGCTCTTCTTCTTTTTGACATGTAGCACCTTCTGCCGTCGTCCTCGCCGCAGGACACTCAGCAGTGGCTGCACCGTCACAGGTTCTCGCCTTTCTCAAGGCTCTTCACCAGCTTCTCAGGTACCACGTGTGAAAAACACACCACACACTTTAGTCTTGGAACTTTTGTCAGAAAGCGCAGGCATGCAGTGCAGGAAAGACAAACTGAGGAAGAACTGATTAGTGTTGATGTGTTCGTCTATCGCAGCGTCAGATCAGATCTGCTGTAGATCAGGGCAGCAAGCAGAACCAGATTTCTGCTGTTGTTGCAGGTGCTGATCTCCTGAGGATGACCAGAGAGGATCTGATCCAGATCTGTGGTCCAGCAGACGGCATCCGCCTCTTTAACACGATGAAGGGAAGGTGAGCCATTAAATTACACTGCCCAGCCACACCCAGAACCATTTGCATGATTTACTGGTTGGTGCATCTACAGACACAAGATCATGGAATATACAAAATAGGCATGGCTCCTGTTTCTGGATGTGAGGCTAGCTGAAGTGCCTCAACCCTGCATTTATGGCGACTGTGGCTCAGGGGGTTGGGAATCGCATCTGTAACCGGAAGGTCGCCGGTTCGATCCCTGGACTCTCTGTCCTGGTCGTTGTGTCTTTGGGCAAGACACTTAGCCCTACTTGCCTACTGGTGTTGGCCAGAGGGGCTGATGGCGCGATATGGCAGCCTCGCTTCTGTCAGTCCTGCCTCCACCAGTGTATGAATGTGAGAGTGAATGAATAGTGGTATTGTAAAGTGCTTTGGGTGCCTTGAAAAGCGCTATATAAATCCAATCCATTATTATTATTATTATTATTATTATTATTATTCATTCTAATAACCAGAAGGGGGCGACTCCTTTGACTTTTAACACAAGTCAGGTCATATGGAAGTCCACACAATTCTAGTCCTTTGGGATGTTCCTAAAGTCTAGTCTAGTCTCTTCTCTCAACCATAAATTATATACAAAGATGGATTTGGACACTGATATGATCCATTGTTTCTCCATTACAGTAAATTTATGATATCGGCCTCTTGAGCAGACTGCATCTTAAGCTTTAGTGCTGCAGGTCCTTGAAATGCATTCAATTCAAGCTTTTGCTCACATTTTCAGGTGTGTACAGCCCCGTCTTACCATCTATGTGTGTCAGCAGCAGGCCAGAAATCAACCTCCCATCAAACCAGGCTGTGGAGAAAGTAAGTGTGCAACAAGAATTCGGTCTGAATGCTCATATTTTGTCCTTTTTTTTCAGTCCTCTGTCTGTAGTGTGACTGAATGGTTTTAAACAAGCAATTCCTACACACCAAACACAACTGCAGGTTTATTAAGCCCTAAATGAAATATTCAAAACTAAGATAGATGGCAGCCGGAGCTGGACCAAACAAGTCAGAGGACCTGAAGAAGACCTGTAGCCGATGTTAGAGTCAGTCCTTAAAATACAAACAAAATAAAACTCATGAAAAAGACTGAGTCCAATTAATAATACACATGGATGTGCCATACTCTTTCTTAAATATTGTGTTTGTAAGGCACAGCCAATCAGGAGAAAATAAAAGGAAGGAACAGAGGAGGAGCTAAAGATGCTTGTTTCAGACAGTCCATCAACTGAGCTGCACCGAGGCTCAGTATAAGATAAAAAAGGGTTATTTTGAACATTGAGTCATGCACTCTGTTCTACTAGTCCAAAAATAAATGTTTGCAGATGAAACCGGGCAGAGACAAAATCCTAAAATATCAGGGAATCATCACAGAAACTGGCAGAGTAACACTTCTGACCTGATGTGATCATTGTATGTCTGTCTTGCCTCTGCAGTCTACCACGCTCTGTACCTGGAAGAGCTGACACTGCTGGACCTGTCTGAAAAGATTGCTACACTGTACAACATCACTTCCCAACAGATCACACAAATCTACAGACAGAAAACCACCGGGATCCACATCTTAGTCTCAGATGAGGTATCTGTCCAGCACTGATTAATATGAGTGCATATCTGCAAATGAGTATGTAGATTCTGTAGGCAAGGGGTAACGTTCAGGTATCGGAAGCTTCCTGACTTCCATCTGTAGTTAACTTCTATTAACTTCTACTAACACTAACACAGTCATCTTTGAGTTGAGTTTGATTAGATGCAGGTAAAAAAATCATTGAGAAGAGGAAGAGAGAGCTCCTGCTTTGCTCTAATCCAGTTTTAAAACAGGATGCTATTGTCTAATGACAATTTCGTTTTTTTTATTAGCCCCATAAAAATATATCTGCCTTCCAAACCCATGACAGACAGAACAGGAAGTCTCAGTTTTCCGTTAGTGATCATCAATAAAAGTTCCACCATGAGCTCCAGATTCCTTCCAAGTCCATGAAGTGCACTTTATACATGTTTCAGCTGTTTCAAGACCAAAGTGTGTGGTGTTCTTTGTTTCAGATGGTGCAGAACCTCAGGGAAGAAACCAGTTTCATCATCAGCACCATACGAGGTAACTGACCTTTATCCGTAGAGCCCTGTTTCAGGGAACGTTAAGAAGCTGTGGAAAAGGGAAAGAAAAGCACTCATTTCCAAACAGTCCAAGCACTTAATTAATGTCATTCTGCAACAAATGCAGCAAATCAAATGCTGAAACGAAGAACTCAACCAAAAAAAAATCAGTGGTCACTTTACATTTAATGCAACAAAAACATTTTAAATAAATAGAGCAGGGTCAAAAAGAAAAACCAAAAAACAACTCATTGCATTGAACAATGTAAGAAAAATATTCCACAGTGTAGAAATGCTACCAACAGTTTGGGGATTTTTTGCTCTACATAACATCATCAAAAGATTCAGAGAAGCTGGAAAGATCTCTGTACACAAGACTGAAAACAACTTTATCCCCTGAACCTTTTTGTGGAATTCATGCAGTGTAAGTCTTGGCATAGCCACGGTGTAATACACAAGACCTTCCCTGTAGAGGACTTCGTCTGGATGGCTGCCTGTTTTGCTCCGAGGCCTTTGTTGTTCAGCATTTTGGAGAGGAAAAAAAAGAAATTGGTTCAGGGGCAGCTAAAGGCTGAAAAGTTGTAATTATTAAAGTTATAATCCCAGAGCTGAAAATGAGTTCAGTAATCTGTAGGTAAACAGCATGAACAGAACTTTTCTCAATATAACACGCAAACATAGGATTTCTTCATCTGCTAAATAATATCAAGGAAAAAGCTGAAACAGTGAATGTTGGTGGAGCTCAGGCCTTCAGACACAGTGAACAGGAACATCCCTGCAGGATGGCATCTATATGTTTTGGAGTTGTCTGCTGCCATCTAGATGTTGTTTTACTGGGAAAGTCTTGTTTATTTCAGTGAGATGATCCCAAACCATGGCTGTGGCTGTATTCCTGCAGCATGGCTTCATAGTAAGAGTCCAGGCGCTAAACTGGCCTGACGCAGTCCAGAAACCAAAGGATGCTGCTGAGCAGCTGGTTTCCTGCAGCAAGCATGTTTCCTTACTTCCAAAGAACAGATGAAGCGGTTTAGTGGGAAACAGCTTCTTAAAGCTGCCATCAAATTCAAAATGAATAAATCAAATTCTTTAGTTTCAGCGTTTGCAGCTGTTTTATTTTCAGTGCTTTTGCATTGTTTTTATTTAGAGTCACAGAGCACACCAGTTCTTTTGAAGAGCAGAAACAATTTATTGATATTAAGCTTCAAGCTTTCATCAGGATGTTTTTTTTATTTTGAATGATCTTTAACTGAATTTTTGTGTGTTAACAGATGAAAACACTGATGGTTACCACGTTGTGTTAAAATGATCTCCGGGACGTGCCTCAGTGGAGTTGTACAGATTGTAAATACGTTTTACTAGACACTGTAATAATAATAATATTAATACTACTAATAATGTGATGTTTAATAAGATTTCCATTAAAGTGAAAATGCTTGTCAGCTCTTCGCTTACTGTTGATTTTGAGCTTTAATGTTCTCTAGTTATTTTTTACATATTTGTTTAGTTACTGATTCTTGCTTTGTTGCAATTAGTATTAACAAGCGCTGTACCATTCTTTAATATGTCAAATGCAATGCTGTAAATGCAACTGAATGACTCTGATGATAATAAAGCAAAATAAATGGAACACATCATCATGCAGACAAAATGAAACGATGAACAAACAAAACTGTATGATGCTGTTTTAATGAGAAGTGTGATCTCCCGCTGCCTCGGCTCTCTTTGTTCTCCTGCTGGGTCGTGCCGCGTTGGGATGCTCTGAGGCTCTCTATTTTCTGGGTGAAGTGGAACATGCTGCTTTTAAAGATTCGATTTTGACTTGCTGTGAATAACTGTGCTGTGTTTGAGAGTAATTATTTGGCTGCTTTTAAGATATTAAACCTGCACTGGGGGGGAAAGGAGAGTCAACAGTAATTACAAGCAAAGCAAAATCACCAGGCCAAGATGTCACTACTTACAGGTCCTTAAAGTTAAACTGTAAGTGGAGAGGCACTGTCATATGTCATACATAAATGTCTTAAATCTTGACAAATGCCCACACTGTAACAAAGGTAACAAAACTAATAAAAGACTGAAAGGAAATAAAATCGAATTTAAAACAAAAACTAAAGAAGAGTTTAAAAATAAACAGTAATAATTGCGGACCAGCTCAAGATCCAGGTATAAAATTTAAACCCCACCTCACTGTGATGTCCACCTTCTCTGTGCATCATCTAATCAGCTCTATAAGTAACTTAATTCATTTCATCAGTATTGTATATTTTGAGTTCAAGCTTCTGGACAAAATGACCTTGCTCCATGAAAATGCTGTCATGCTGTTATTTTAACGATTAAAAACTCAAAATGGTGCACCTAACAATATCAAAGTAGACTTACACAAACACAGAGAAACTTTTTTAATATCCTACATGCTTGTTAACTACACAACTGTGCACAATGATCCAAACTCCAGGAGTCTGGAAAGTTGTGGTTCTTAGATGTGGACTCTCTGATCCAAAGAGTTCAGTTGGGGGAAGAAGAGAAGAATAAAATCACTGAAAGTAGAAAAGGTGTGTGGTGGAGATCTTGGAAAACTTTGTGAGATCTCGCAACAGTTCATTTTCATTTTTTTTCTCCAATGTCCCTTACAGGGCTCAGTAAGATCCTACTTTCCTTCTGATTTTTGCAGTTACCAATGGTAATTCTTTTCAGTACATATGTAACACCCCCTCTGGCCACATTGTGGCAGTGTTCCCAGTCACACAGAAGCTTGTATGTAAATCTGGAAGTATCCAAAAGATGAAACAGAGAAAGTGTTTCACTTTGTCTCGTGGTTAACATGTTTACTGCACTCTCTTTTTTCCCACTATTATAGTATTGAGTGTCTCTGTCTCTCATGCACAAGACCATAGTTCGATTCCCTGATTGAGAGATACTCCTTGTCTTTCAACTTTTAGAAAAGCAAAGTGCACACTGTGAGTAGGTCTTGAGGGAGGTTAGTGTTTCAGGGAATAGATTGTCAGGAATAGATCATCTTTCTGTGCTTGGTTTTCTCTACAGTGAAAGAATATAAAAATGCAGTTGCAATACAATTGGTCTTATTTTTAAGCAAATCAAATCAAGTCAGCTTTATTTATATAGCACATTTAAAAGACATCAAGTGTCTGTCAAAGTGCTGAACAGAGGGATAATATAATCAAATAAAAAGAATTCAAATAAGATGAAAAAAAACATAAGACATCCATATACAGGCAGAATCTTATATGCACTTGTTTGTATATAAGATATGTAAGTATATATATGTACATGCACACATACAATGTGTGTGTGCATGGGGTTTGATAACCCCTTTGATTTGCTTCATCAGATTTTCTAATCTTTGACTTGGAAGGAAGTTGGTTTGGAAACACATTTGGCAATGCTTCATCTTCTGCTTTGCGTTTGTGTAGGAGCCCCGTCAAAAACGTGTCCATTATACGAGCAGTGTCCAAGCATTCCTTTTTCTTTCTTTTAATTTATAGCGTGCCCCCCTGCATTGGCTCTGCGCTCACCCCACACTTTGGGAACCTCTGTTTTAACCAATGAAATTATAAGTGGGCGGTGTCTTTTTTGCGGGTTTCAGTGTTACACTGACACGTCAGCTCAAATCCCTCTCCAAAAGTGTGACACTCCTTCAGGCGGGAAATTTGTTTGACTCCATTTTTGTACAGTCGGAACAAGTGCTGCCAGGTGGTTCATCTTTTCTGCAGTCATTGATAGAAAAAAGCAGCAAGAGCTTCTTTCGTTTACTCCTCTCCAAAACCGCCACATTAAACTGATAGAGGAGCTCAGCTTTAAACCGAGAGGACTGAAGAGCGGACTGGATGAAATGTGAGTGTTCGTCAGTATTTGTTTTGAGTGTTTATTGTTATAAAAATCAATGGAAAACAGTAAATACGTAGTAAGGATGCAACCAGTTGTCCCCGCTCCTTTATGGTTTTTGTTGTCCTGACACTAAGGTTACTTACATTACGCTACATTACGTCAGCGGTCCCCAACCCCCGAGCCTCGGACCGGTACCGGTCCGTGAGTCGTTTGGTACCGGGCCGCGAGAGTTGAGGCTCAGGTCTGAAATATATAGTTTTCAGGGTTTTTATCGGTTTTCAGCGTTATTTTGTCATCGTTTTTATCGTTAACTCGGTTCTCCTGGGTCTTTTCACGTGTGTTATGAATAAATCTTATTTTTTTCGGTACCGGTACTAGTTTTACTTGGTTGTATTTATCCGCGACACCTTAAAGGCCGGTCCATGAAAATATTGTCGGGCATAAACCGGTCCGTGGCGCAAAAAAGGTTGGGGACCGCTGCATTACATGACATAATATACCTTCCTGTCTCCACTGATACCAATTGTATCACATCTAAAAAGAAAAAAAGTCGGTCTGCAGTTATTGAATTATATACTGTTCTGTTGCCTTAAGTCTTCTGGATTTGTGGAAAAGACATTAAATGCTGATGCAACTTCCTGTTTTTATTCTAACCCTAGCTGTCATCATAGAGGACACTACTGAAATCACTTTTATTACTCAAAAGTACAAGAGGGTTAGAGCCATTGGGGGAAAAATATAGGGTTAATTTGGATTTATTTATTTATTTTTGTAAATTTTGTAAATTCTAGTAGCCCTAATCCTCTTCCATACAGAGAAAACCGAGATCATGTTAAAAACACTTGAGCTTAGGAGCAAAACTACTGTTATTGTAGTTGTAATAATTGCTCTGAGCATAGAGCAATAAATTCAGATTTTTATTTAACTGATACTAAATTATGTTACAAATCTGACTCCAAAATTGATTATTGTATTGCAATAAAATAATCAAAAAGAATGCATACTACAACATACAGCTGACTTACAACATGTTACCATGTAATGCACATAATGCCATGTAGTGCACCTGAACCAAAGAGCAGAGCCTTTTGCCAATAAACCAGCTGCACTTGAAAATTAAACTTTTCTTTAAAACTCATCATTACTCCTCATTTTGAGATCAGTTCAGTGAACCTCCGTTTCCTCTGCCTTCACCAGCAGCAGTGCTCCTAAACCTGTACACAGGTTCAGCATCAATGGGGCCTTCTCACGTGTAGAACTTACCTATACAATGCATATTAATGTATAATCCTGTGTTATTAAACGTATTATCAAGGCTGCTGTCTCAATGTAATCAAGACAGCAATAGCTCAGTAGGTAGAGTGTTCACCCCATGATCCGAAAGTTGGGGGTTCGAATCCACTGAACGGCCACCCTGAGGTATCCTTGAGCAACGTACCGTCACTTCACATTGCTCACCAGGCACTGGATTGGTAGCTGCCCACTGCTTCACTGAGTGAATTAGTTAAATGCAGAGGACTACAAAATTCCCCACATGTGGACTATAAGGGCTTAAAAAAAAAAAAAAAAGCTATTGAGGCTGCTGTCTCGATGAGATCTGACATCCTCTTTAGCCCGGAGGATAAGTAGTAATACCACAGATTAGTTTTCAGTAAGGAAGCAGTGTTTCTGTATCCTGCTTCTGTTTGTTCCTTGTATGGTAGCATGTGTGAATGCAACAAAGAGCTGTATCACCTGCCAACACTTTTCAGAAGTGTTTGTGAGGTCATGCAGTGATTTCCAATCAGGTCTGTCTCTAATGTAGTGCAGGCCTGAACACTATCAACATCTAAGCTCTGCGGCATTTTTAAATTGTTTCATAGAGTGATAAATTTCCTAATTTTACTATAGAAACATTCAGCCTGTCAGGGATTTTCTTTTAAAACACAGTCATATTATACAAATTTTATTCAAAATATTTTTTAGCATGTAGTGGTCGCAAGATAATGTGAGGGGGACCAGACGGATAAAAACAACCACACAAGCCTTCAGACATCTTTCAGAGCTCTGAATATATTTCTTATATAGATACAGAATTTTAACATTTTCAGCATTTCTTTTACTTCCCTTTTTGCCTCTTCACCCTCTGTTTTTGGCACTTTTCCCCAAGCAGTCACAGAGACTGCCTCTCCTAGCTTCTCCATTTCTTTAGTGACTGTCTTCCACCCATCTCCACTTCCTCTCTCGCCTTCACAGCCCATTGCCGCCTCCTCTTCTAGAATGTGACATGGTGCCTGTCACATTCTACTCCACACACACACACAGCTGCGGAGATCTACTATGCCAATCTAACCAGCTTCTTTTTCTCAACCCAGCTGCTATTAAACAACATAAAATAATTCACTCGCCTGTGGGACAACATATAGGACTCTTAAAGTCCTTTTAATTTAAACAGTCACAGTGAGTTTTACACTTCATGGCCAGCAGACATCAACCTGTAGTTCTTAGCAAAAGTCTCTTTCTCTAGTGCCCAGACACTGGAAGCATTTCGCATGAGTATCGTTTAACTTAACGAACAGATAATTTAGACTTTGTCCAATATGTACACTTTGATATAACAGGTGTTGCTTACCTTTACATTCTGTTGGACCGGTTCTCTGTTCGCCTCGTTCCACGACCCCCATTCCTCTATTGCTAAATATTCTCTTTAAATTATTTTGTAGCATCACTAACCTACATTTGTGAAAAAGGAAGCAGTACTGTCATGGCAGATCAAGGTGAAATGAAGGTAAGTAAAAATTGGAAAATGCTTTCATTAAACTGCCAACTTTAATAAAACAAATGTTAAGAAATTAGCTTTTATAAATTAAAACATAGGGTTGATGTTTTTCACTAGATATATTCAGTAAATATTGAACTGTGTAACAATTAATTTAGAAATTAGGAATGTTAACTGGACTTTATATTTCACTGCCATGAGGATGATCTTTCATCAGACATACAAGATTGGAGTAAAGATCAGATTATACAATCAGCTAAACTTTATAGTGACTGCACACTTATTTATGTAGTGACTTAAACTAAGAAAAAAAACTTTATTTTAGACTCAAGAGGAGAATCTGTCCCCTGACATCAAGAATTGGAGCAAACATCAAGTGAGACAATGGGCTCTCGAGTTGGATGGTGTGGATGACAAAGTTGCTGAAATATTGTTTAATCAAGACATCAATGGGCATAGTCTTCTTCTTTTAAATCCAACAGACTTGACTGCAACTGGTGTCACTTTAGGACCAGCTAAGCTTCTCATTCATGCCAGAGATGAAGTTGTGCAATTTAAAAAAGAAGAGCCATTAGGCTCTAGAAACCAGCCTGGAAAACTGTGCAAGCCGTATCCATTTGATAAATACCACGATACATTAAGATATATTGAGAGCAGGATTCTTGATGTTACAGAATCAGGTGCCTCAGATTTGATTGAACCCTGCCATGAGTACAAAGCTTTCACCAGGACAACAGAAGAAACTAAAATGGAAAAGTTCACATCTGAGGTCATTCGCTTTGCAGCTGCCTGCATGAACAGCCGCACCAACGGCACCATACATTTTGGAATAGGAGACAAACCGGAGTTCACCCACGGTCAAGTGTTGGGAGTGGTTGTTGAGGACAGAGAGGCTTTTGCAAATGAACTAAAATCTGCCATTAATGGGTGTTTTGAACATAAACATAAACAAGCTGCTCAGACATGCGTCAGACATCCACGATTTGTTGAAGTTCTCAACAAGAACACGACATCATCTGACAAATGTGTCATAGAAGTCGACGTTGTTCCAGAGACTACGATCTGTGAAGAAAACGGCTACCACACAAAAAACCAAAAAAATGGCAAGAAAAAAGGCAAAATGAAAGAAACTGAATCAGAACCATCAAAGTGTTTCTTTATCCGTGATGGTGGTAGCAGCAGAGATCTTCTTGCGGGACCAAACAAGCGAGAGTACGAGCAGTTTCTGGAAAGTATGGCTCAGCGATCACAACGCCGGAAAAAGGCAGAAGAGAAGCACCTCAGTGTGATAAAAAACAGCACTCAGGGCTCTAGACTCAGTCACATGATCACTGGTGGCTCTCTGTCTTTAGATAAATCAAATGTTGAGTGGTATGTGATAATAACTAACAAATCACACCCAAGCCAGTTAGATTATCTAAACTTTCTTGTACATCTGAATCCAGCAGCGGTGTTGGACTTTGATCCAGAATCAGCTAAAGAGGGATTAGAGCAATATTTTGACCAGCAGAGCCCAGTAAATGTTCATTCACCGGCACGATATAAAATCACAGAAGGAGTTGAAGACATTGTGAACAAGTTGAAATTAACTCAAAACACCAGCTGGGTGTTCTGCAATGGAGGCATTGAGCATGAGTCGCCCTCAGAAATTGACCAGTGGTTAATGGATAAGGGACCCTCCGTCAGAGATGTGATTTCCTTCTTGTGTCGCAAAGGTATCCTTCCAAACAAGAGGTTCCTCGTCATTTTTTTACTTTTGTCAAGAGTAAGTGAGAAGATGGACCCCCTTGTGGAGACTTTCAATACATTCTGGCAGGAACTCAGAGGCACAGATCAGATCCTTTGCATATGTGACAATGACAAAGCATTCAACTCCTGGAGAGACTTAATTGAGGCTCGATGTGGAATCGACATCTCAGGTAGATGCATACATGATCTCAGCTTTGCAGAAGTCAATGGCACTATCCTTAGCCTTTGGTCAGAGAATCGCAGATCCAGTCGTTTCCTAACATGTGGTGGGGGAAGCAAAGTGCTATTTGAGAAGAAAGTGGAGCGAAGTCTGAGTACCTTAGATGTCCTTTGTGTGAACCAATGTGAGGAAAAAATTCTGATAGAACGGAACTTGTACAAGGGTGGAAAGTTAACGTGGTGTTATTTCTATTTCTCAGAGCAGGCCGGATCCACGCCGTTTATCAAACGAGACCACTTTGACTACATCAAGGATACAAGCATACCTGATTTATGCTCCCGGAGAAAAGCCTGTGTGTTGTTTAACCTCAGGCATGTACCTAAATGTGGTGGGACAACTTTGGCCAAGTACCTATTGTGGTCTCTCCGGAACACATTTCGTTGTGCTGTCCTCAGGAACAACAATGCTGACTTTGCTGAAGTAGCCAGTCAGGTGACCAAACTTCTCATGTATAAATATCAGGAGCAGCTGCCACGTGTCCCTGTTTTGCTGATGATAGATGACTTTGAAAATATGGAAAAGGTATGTGACCTGAAGCAGCTCATTGAAAAAGAATGCGAAGAGAAAAAAATTCAGTCTAAGTCTGCGCAGGTGGTTGTCTTGAACTGCATGAGATCAGAGACTTTTGAAACGACTGGGCAAATTGCAGATACTGTATTCATTGAAAATAACCTCTTTGAGAGGGAACAGAAACAGTTTGAGGAAAAACTAGTCGAAATTGAGACAACTTACAAGAACGCTGTGCCTATGAAGGTTCTCAGTCATCCAGTTCATCGTAGTCAAAGGAGCTTGCAAAGACAAGCGTTCTGAAGAACCTGAAGAAGCTTCTCAGATGAGAGGTGAAACATCTTCAAGCAACTTAAAGAAGTCCAGACAATTACAAACGATGTAAGATGGCGCTGAATAATGGATAATGCACTTTTTAAAACTTCTGGAACCAGCTCCTTTATCTATTCGAGAGCGGAGCTGCTGGCACTGAGAACAAAGGAACAGACCAGCCTGCGACACAACATCCCGGCTGAGATAAAGAGGAGCTACAGAGGCTGCAAGGCTGGAGTGAGGAAAGCGGATCACCAGAGGTGATTCAAACCGACATCAATCCCGACAGTGATAATGGGCAACGTGAACTCGCTACAGAATAAAATGGATGAACTGTGTGCTCTGAACAACCACCGACTGTACCGTGAGTGCAGTTTGTTTATCTTCACGGAGACGTGGCTAACCGAACTAACGCCACAGGCTAACGTAGACCTATGCAGTTTCACATCCGTGAGACATATGTGGTTGGAGGATGAGGAGGAGGTCTCCATTTCTCCACCGGTTCCCTCTTCCAGAAGGAAACGTTGCCCTCGCCACCGCCACTCCTCTCCCCAGTCATCTGTTCTGCAACCTGGTCCTGCTGGAGGGTCCGAGGAGCCCGTCCGGCCTTCATCTGTTGTTCCCACTGGGGGTTCTGGAGAACCGCACCAGCCTTTGTTTGCCTCTGCTGGAGGGTCCGAGGGGCCTGTCCAGCCTTCTGTTCCTGCTGGGGGTTCTGGAGAGCTGCACCAGCCTTTGTTCGTCTCCGCTGGAGGGTCCGAGGGGCCCGTCCAGCTTTCTGCCTCCACTGGAGGGTCCGAGGGGCCCGTCCAGCAACAGCAACCTGCCTCTGCTGGAGGGCCCGAGGGGCCTTCCAGCAACCTGCCTCCGCTGCAGCGCCACCACTTGCAGCGCCACCCTCCTCGTCTGGTCTAGCCTCTGAGTCTTCATCCTCGCCTGGTCCAGCTTCAGCTTCAGCTTCGCCTAGTCCCGTGGCAGCCACGCCACCGTCCGGACCACATCCTGTGCCTCAACATCGCCGGCCTCCTTCCAGGCCACGTCCATACCCTCCTCAGGCGGCCGGCCTCTGGGCCTGAACCGCCCAGATTTGGACTGTTGTGCAGTCAGCCTCCGGGCCGGCCTCCTGAACTTTTTCGGAACTGTTTTCTTGGCCGGCCTCCGGAGCCCCTTCGCCTGGGTCGCCGTCGTTGCCATGCACACGGTCGGCCCCCTGAACTGTTCCCACGTCACCGCCGTTGCCGTGCGCACGGTCGGCCCCCTGGTTGAAACCAAGATGGCGCCGCGGATGGTCGCCCTGGTGCTTCAGTGCGTTACTTTTGTCTTGTTTTTGTGCATTTCTTCTGTGTCTGGGCACTCCTCTGGATATTCTTACACCAGAGAAGAGCTCCTTAACTGCAGGACTACAACGCCTGTGGATTTATTTCCAATATTTGTCGCATCTGCGGCAGATTTACTGCTGACTCTGATCAGGAAAGTGAGACGTCGAAAGAGAGGTAAGCGAGCCGGCGTACTCGTGCGTTTGAGGAAACGCGGACTGAGAACGGCCCTTCCTGGGATCTTCCTTTCTAATGTACGATCACTCTGGAATAAGATAGACGAACTGGCCCTGATGAGAAGCATGAACAAAGACTTTGCCTCCTCCTGTGTCTTATGTTTTACGGAGTCGTGGCTCAGTGAGGACATCCCGGACTGCGCGCTCAAGCTGGAGGGCTTTCATCTGCTGCGCGCGGACCGGCAGGCCGCTCTCTCCGGTAAAACCAAAGGTGGAGGTGTCTGCTTCTACATCAATAGTGGCTGGTGCACAGATGTAACAGTGATTGCTCAGCACTGCTCTCCCTCTCTGGAATATCTTTTTATTCACTGCAAACCGTTTTATTCTCCGCGGGAGTTTGCTTCATTCATCCTGGCCGCTGTTTACATCCCGCCAGACGCAGATGCGCAGGCAGCTCAGTGCGCACTCGCGGAGCAGATTCTCCACACGGAGCGGACATTCCCGGACTCTCTCATCATTGCTCTTGGGGACTTTAACAAAGCCAATCTGAGCCATGAGCTTCCAAAATATAAGCAGCATATTAAATGCCCGACCAGAGAGGAGAGAACATTAGACCACTGTTACAGTACGATCAGCGGGGCCTATCGCGCGGTGCCCCGCGCTTCACTCGGACTTTCTGACCACGTCATGATCCACCTAATCCCCGCGTACAGACAGAGGCTGAAGCTCTCCAAACCTGTCGTGAGGACTAAAAAACTGGAGCAACGAGGCTGTGGAGGAGCTTCGCACGTGTTTGGAGTCTACAGACTGGGACACAATGAAGGCTGCTTCTAACAGCTTGGACGAGTTTACGGACACTGTCACCTCCTATATCCACTTCTGTGAGGACAGCATTGTGCCATCACGCACCAGGGTGAGTTATAACAATGACAAACCCTGGTTTACTCCTAAACTCAAAAAGCTGTGGCTGGAAAAGAGTAAGGCGTTCAGAAGCGGAGACAGGGACTGCTACAGAGAGGCCAAGTACAGGTTCACTAAAGAAGTGGACATTGCCAAACATCAGCACTCTGAGAAGATGCAGCAGCAGATCTCAGAGAATGACTCGGCCTCTGTGTGGAAAGGTTTTAGGAATATTACAAACTACAAGCCTAAAACCCCCCACTCCACTGATGACTTGCTCTTAGCCAACACCCTTAACAACTTCTACTGCCGTTTTGACGAGCCATCAGGCAGCCTTCACACCTCCAACGACCCCAACAATAGAGGCACTTTGGACACTCATTCCCCCACCTCTCCCCCCTCCATAGAGCCATCACCACCTTCAAACTGTTCACCTGCAACACCCGCCCCCTCACCCCACACAAAAGAGGATTTCACACCACCTCCTCCGACCACAACTCTTCATATTCATGAAGCAGATGTGAGGAAGCAGTTTAGGAGTCTGAATGCTCGGAAAGCTCCCGGCCCAGACGGTGTGTCTCCTGCCACCCTCAGACACTGTGCAAACGAGCTGGCCCCAGTGTTTTCTGGCATCTTCAACTCCTCACTGCAGGCATGTCATGTGCCTGCCTGCTTCAAGTCCTCTACCATAATCCCTGTCCCCAAGAAACCTAGGATCACTGGACTAAATGACTACAGACCCGTGGCTCTGACATCTGTGGTCATGAAGTCATTTGAGCGCCTAGTTCTCTCCCATCTCAAGACCCTCACGGCCCCCCTCCTGGACCCCCTGCAGTTTGCATATAGAGCCAACAGGTCTGTAGACGACGCCATCAACATGGCCCTACACTTCATCCTGCAGCATCTGGACTCCCCAGGAACCTACGCCAGGATCCTGTTTGTGGACTTCAGCTCTGCCTTCAACACCATCCTTCCAGACCATCTCCGAGGCAAGCTTTCCCAGATGAATGTGCCTGATCCCATCTGCCGGTGGATCACTGACTTCCTGACGGACAGGAAGCAGCACGTGAGGCTGGGAAAGAATGTCTCGGACTCCCGGACCATCAGCACCGGCTCCCCTCAGGGCTGTGTTCTTTCTCCTCTGCTCTTCTCCCTGTACACCAACTGCTGCACCTCCACCCACCAGTCTGTCAAGCTAATCAAGTTCGCAGATGACACCACCGTCATTGGGCTCATCTCGGACGGGGACGAGTCTGCCTACAGGAGGGAGGTTGAACGTCTGGTGTCTTGGTGCAGCCACAACAACCTGGTGCTGAATGCCCAGAAGACAGTGGAGATTATTGTGGACTTCAGGAAGCACACAGCCCCACTCCCCCCCATCATCCTGACTGACACCCCCATCACCTCTGTGGACTCATTCCGCTTCCTGGGTACCACCATCACCCAGGACCTGAAGTGGGAGCCCACCATCACCTCCGTCATCAAGAAAGCCCAGCAGAGGATGTACTTCCTGAGGCAGCTGAAGAAATTCAACCTGCCAACACGGACGATGATGCAATTCTACACTGCAATCATCGAGTCCATCCTCACCTCCTCCATCACCGTGTGGTACGCTGGAGCCACTATCAGGGACAAACAGAGACTGCAGCGTGTTGTGCGCTCTGCTGAGAAGGTGATTGGCTGCAGACTCCCATCTCTGCAGGACCTGTACACCTCCAGGACACTGCGGCGTGCAGCCCGGATCTCAGCTGACCCTTCTCACCATGGACACAGTCTGTTTGACCTGCTCCCCTCAGGCAGGAGGCTCCGGTCCATTCGCACCAGAACCTCTCGCCACAAGAACAGTTTCTTCCCCTCTGCTGTTGGACACATGAACAATAACCACATGATTGTCCCCGCCACTAACACATGACCCTACGCTGTGTCACTGCATCATTTCATGTTTGGCACTGATCACCACCTGCACTCATGTATATATCTTTCTACGTAGCACTCATAATTCTTATTCTCATGTATATATCTCATGTATATCTCATGCACATATCTTTCTTTCTACATAGCACTTTAATTCTTATTGTCTGCACTGAAGCACCGCAGCAATTTCCTAATGTTGTAAACCTCAACATCTGGCAATAAACCCATTCTGATTCTGATTCTGAACTGTTTCCACATCGCCGCCACTGCCTTCCGTGTGGTGCGGTTTTTGAGTTTATTATATTATTTATCATTTCTAGTCTTTGGTTTCTTTGTTAGAGTTTTCTCTTATGGTTCAGTCTCTGTGTAATCCTTAGTTGCTGTCTCCCCTGTCGGCTATATCTCAGTGTCTGTGTCTGCCCTGGTCCCACGTCTCTGTTCCCTCTGTAGTGCCTGCCTGTGAGTCTGTGTCTGTAAATTCAGTCTGTGTTATGTTTCCTGTTTTACTTTGAAAGTATGTGTCTCATGTAAATGCGTCTGGTTTTGTTTCCTTTGTCTCGTTAGGCCTGATTTGCCCCAGCTTTGTTTCCCTCCTGTTACCCATTCCCTGATTGCTCCCTCTGTGTATTTAAGCCCTTTGTTTCTCTGTGTCCGTGTCGTGATCTACCCTCATTTATGCTGTGTGTTCTGTCTGCCTGCTTATGCAAGTTTACTTGGATTTTTGTTACGTTTTGCCATCCAGTAATAAAAGCTGAGTTTGAAGTACACTTTTGCCTGCCGTGAGTCTGCACTTTGGGTCCACTACTCCCGCCTGCACACAGCGACACATGACACCTCGGGAATTCAGTCATGTGATCTGTGTGTGTGTTTCCATCCCCCCGAGGGCTGCCTGTGAGGAAATACACACAGTTACGGCATTTCTCCTACGGTGTTGCTATCAGTGTGTGAAGAGTGGGAGAAGAGGGTTGCATTGACAATCCAACACAATGGGCAGCACATTGAACACATTTTATAAGTGGTCAGAAACTTGTAAATAACTCATGAAAGAATAAAGTTATGTTGAAACCAAGCACACCATTGTTTTTCTTTTGACATTACCAATACGTTTGATGTGTCACATGGCCCTCTTCCTATTGAAAAAAACAAAAGTTGTATCCAAGATGGCCAACTTCTAAATGGCCACCATGGTCACCACCCATTTTGAGGAGTTTGCCCCCTCACATATACTAATGTGCCATAGAGCTGGGCGATATGAGATTTTTTCATATCACGATATGTTTTTTTCATTTCAGGTGATAACGATATCTATCACGATATAAGCCAAATAACTATATTTGTAAGATTTAAATGTGCCGTTGCTCACAAGTAAAATGTGAAATAATCAGCAGCTTGTTTTTATTTAAATATTTATTTCCCATAATAAGTTCAACAGGGTAGATGTACTTAAGTAAAATTAGACTTTTTCAGATAAATTAAGGCAAATATTGCAAACTACACAAAAGGCAGCCGCTAAAGCGTTTAAGTTTCAAAATAGAACAAACGAAACAGACTAAATTGTCAATTCCACTTAGAAACAAAATATTAATTCTAAAAATAAATCTTAGTTTGTTTTACAGAAGAACAGACAAAACTGACTAACTTTTGTCAATATCAAATAAACTGAGAACTAAAAGGAAATTCTCAATCTCTCCTTGTTGTATAGCTTAGCTTTTCAAACAGTTTTAACAGTTACTTTAGTCTGACAAAAGCCGAATGACGAATTAGCGCTTCCAGTCAGAGACTGAGGCTACGTCCACACGTACACGGGTATTTTTGAAAACGGAGATTTTCCGTTTTCGTTTTAAAAAATAATCCCGTCCACACATAAAGGCAGAAATGAAGGAAAACGCTGCTATGAACATGCCAAAGCAGCAGGTGGAGCTAGATTCCTAACCGTGCAGAAATGTTGGCCAATCAGAAGTCTAGAAGCCTCGGTGGGAAAAAGTAAACAAAGCTGGGGCATAGAAGCAGAACCGAGTCGTATGTGTGGACGGACAGTAACTGTGTGTATATGTAAGCATTTAAACACTGCAGAGAGTAGAATTAACAGTAACAGTAGTGTAGAAATTCATTTCACCGAAACAATAACGTGGTGCACAGTGTGACGCATGCACCAGTTTATTGTATTTCCAGACTTGCTTTCGGCACAATTTACAGTGCACGCTACTCTGTTTTTATCAGACTTGAAATAGCCGAAATACCTTCACACTACGGAACTTCTATGGCTCTTCCGTTCAACAATCTCTCCGGCATTGGAACCATCATCTGTTTTCTCTTCGGTCACGCTCGGTTGATTTTTCTAGTCGGCACACTCATTTCCTCCATTACGCGCTGGCTCCATTACCCGCTGGCTGCTTCCCAAACAAACACACGTGCGGCTTGGCACTTGTGCTGTACGTAACAAGTCACGCGACGTGACGCTGCGGCTGTGATTGGTTCGGCTCTGCGCTACTTAATTTGGATTGGCTGACCTTTTTTTTTTTTTTTTTTTTTTTTAAGAGGACAAGAGCGGCGAGGTCTATCGCGATAGCTTAATTTCTCTATCGAGTAAAAGTTATATCGCGATACATATCGTTATCGTTCTATCGCCCAGCTCTAATGTGCCACAAACAGGACTTTAATATCACCAACCATTCCCATTTTAATACGGTGTATCCATATAAATGGCCCACCCTGTATATTAACCTGTCTGGCGTTTGAAATTCTGACACTTGACGTTTTATCATTTTGTCTTATATTACTTATGCAGTTTGGTTTAAACAGCATGATTTGTGGACGTCATGGACGCACATGGACGTCAAGCTTTTCTACGCTTCGACAAGAATGATGGCAAATAGCTGACAGCTGCATGTCAGAGGCACAGCTGCATGTCAGAGGCACACGGTAAGTGACGGAAGTGACGAGTAAGGTAAGCGACCCATGTTGTAGGTGACGTCAGACGCCGGAGATTTGGTGGAATAAAAAAAAAGCAAATGGTAGCATATAGTTTAACAAAGGTTTTTCAAGCTTCAGTATTACCAAATATACTAATCGATTGTCATATAACTAACATCTGTTCTATCATCTCTAACACCCTGGAGGACAACGGGGAGAGTTTAGACGCTCTCCAAGATTACATCGACCGCTGTTTTCAAGATTTAGTAATGAAGAAGGCCCAGAGTACATCCTCTTTGGACTTTGGCCTTCGCGATGCATGGCGCTCCCTTCACCCCAACAGTAAGGAATATACTTTTTTCTCGCATGTTCATCACTCTTACTCTCGTCTGGATTATTTTTTGGTCAGCAGCTCACTGCTGAGTGACATTTCAGACACTGAGATTCATCCTATAACTGTCAGCGATCATGCTCCTGTATCTTTAAAACTAATGCACAAGAATAATACGACGCCAAGTAAAAACTGGAGATTTAATACATCACTGCTTAAAGATGAAGACTTTATTAAATATTTTAAAAAGGAATGGACTTCATATTTAGACTTTAATGACACTCCCGGAATATCTGCTTCTGTGCTATGGGAAGCAGGGAAAGCTGTGATGAGAGGTAAAATAATTTCTTTCTCATCACACAAAAAGAAAGAAGAAAACAAAAATATTCAGGAATTAGAAAAAACCATCAAATCACTAGAAGAAGCCTACGCGTGCGACCAAGATCAGGAAACATTGAACAAAATATGCAAGACAAAACTAGAATTAAATGAAACTATTAATAAAAAAACACAATTCCTTATACAAAGACTTCGCTTGCAGAATTTTGAACACAGTAACAAATCAGGTCGATTTCTAGCTAACCAGTTAAAAATAAATAAAGAAAAAACAACTATATGTGCTGCTAAAGATTTATCGGGGAACACAATATATGACCCTGGAAGAATAAACAACATTTTTAGGGATTTCTATGAAACTTTATACTCACCACAAGTAAACCCATCTAAAAATGAAATTGATCTGTTTCTTGACAACGTAACTCTCCCAAAATTACTAGACAGTCAAGCAATGGAACTGGATTCGCCACTGACGCCAAGTGAATTCCAGGAAGCCCTGATAAGTATGCCCAATAATAAGGCTCCAGGTCCAGACGGCTTCCCTGCAGAATTCTACAAAGAATTCTGGACAATTCTGGCACCAGTATTCCACGGAATGTTGCAGGAAATCGAGGAAAATGGCAGACTACCACCAAATATGAATTCTGCCAACATTAGTCTCCTGCTAAAACCAGGCAAAGACCCTTTATTTCCCTCAAGCTATCGTCCAATTTCTCTTTTAAATGTAGACCTTAAAATAATCTGCAAAGCTCTCTCAAAGAGATTAGAGAAAATAACCCCCCTCTTAATTCATCCTGACCAAACTGGTTTCATAAAAGGTCGGCACTCCTCAACAAACACTCGTAGATTACTTAATTTAATAGACTACTCATACAATAAAAACATCGAAACCATAATATTATCTCTAGATGCAGAAAAAGCATTTGACAGAGTTAACTGGAAATTTTTATTCGCAACTTTACACCAATTTGGTTTCGGAAACTCTTTTATAAACTGGATAAGAATATTATACAATTCCCCAACAGCTCGTATCAGAACAAATGACCAGACATCCTCCAGCTTCTGTCTCCTGAGGGGCACCAGACAGGGATGCCCACTCTCCCCTTCACTTTTTGCAATTTTTATCGAACCTCTAGCAGCAGCATTTAGACAGGCTACAACAATTAAGGGCATAAAATGTAAGAACATAGAACATAAAATCAGTCTCTATGCGGATGATGTGTTGCTTTTTCTGCAAAACACACAAACCAACCTCTCTGAGGTAGTTACTCTAATAAACTGGTTTTCAAGAGTTTCAGATTATTCAATTAACTGGCCAAAATCTACAGTTCTCCCCATTAACTGCTCCTTCCATAATTCTTCCTCTGCCCCACTGCAATCCGGAAATATTAAATATTTAGGTATTAATGTTTCTCCTAAGCTCTCAGACTTAACTAAATTAAATCACATCCCACTTCTAAAGAAAGTAGAAGGCGATCTGACTAGATGGAAATCTTTACCCATATCACTCATGGGAAGGGTCGCCACTATAAAAATGATGATCTTGCCAAAAATAAATTACTTATTTTTGATGATCCCTAACAAACCATCACAAGACTGGTTCAGATCTCTGGATTCATATATTTCTAAATTCCTTTGGAAAGATAAACCCCCGCGTATCAGCCTAAAAACGCTACAAAGAACCAAGGATAGAGGAGGATTAGATCTGCCTAATTTTCACCAATACTTCTTAGCCAACAGGCTTCAGTTCATCTCAGAATGGTCAAAACATACCTTCCTAGATGAGCCCTGGCTAGATGTTGAACAGGCACTATGCAAGGATCTAGAGATTTCAGACCTACCATTTATTAGCTCAAACATCAAAAGACATGAATGCTTTAAAAGTATCAACATCAGCTTCTCTCTGACAGCAAGCATGGTGGGAGTTTCTAAAAATAACGGAGTCTTCACTAATCCCATGCAAACGTACACCTATCTGGAATAACCCTGACATATTACAAAACAATAATATGATTAATTTCCCAGAATGGAGTTGTAAAGGAATTAAATACTTAGAACATATATTAGAGGGAACAGAATTTATCCCATTTGACAGACTAGTTGCACAATATGGGATCAACAAGAAAAGATTTTTAGAATATCAACAAATTAAATCCATAATAAAAAAGAAATTTAACCTCAGTCAAGTTGAATTACAAACACCACCAAGTGCGGCACATTTCCTTACTCTTAAATCCCCCAAATTATTATCTAAAATATACAGAACACTTTCTAAATTAGATGAATCAATATCCCTTCCTATTGCAAAGTGGGAAGTAGATTTATCAGTCAGTTTAGACCAAAACTTCTGGTCTCAGGTATGCCAATCCCAGTCTGCAATTAATACAATACAAAATACTACATAGAGTGCACTATACAGGTCATCGGATGTTCAAGATGGGCTTTACATCTTCCAACAATTGCTCACACTGTCAAAGCAATACACCAGACAATTACATTCACGCTCTTTGGTTCTGTCCACCAGTGCAGAAGTTTTGGCGCGAGATATGTGAAGACTTATCAAAGTGTCTGAAATGTAACATTCCAACTTTCCCCTTAGTGTGTTTGTTGGGCAGCTTAGATAATGTCACTTCAGAAAAGAACATAGCCCATATGGTTTTCACTGCCCTATGCATAGCCAAGAAAACTGTCCTCATGAACTGGAAAAATAAAAACAATCTTAATTCTAACCAATATAGAAATTATCTATTAGATTACATTACTTTTGATACAGCCTCGGCTACCACATCAGATCAATTGCTCTGGGCTCCTTTGATCGGCTCCATCACCTAGTGGGGGTGGGGGGTCATAGTTTGGTCCCGCCTTCAATGTTGTGATTGGTGTGGGGGTAGGGACAGGCTTAGGACGTCGGGGGATTCCCTGGAGGCATCTTCCTTGGGGGGCTCAACCCGGGGTAGCGGTCTTGTCCGATTGGGGGCTCTGTTTTGACTATTTCCTCGTGGCTGCGTGCAGCGGGGCTAGGGGAGGGTCTGTGCTGATGGACGTGGGTTACTGACCTGGTAGCCTGTCTGCCCCTGGGTGGGTCCGGGATGGGCGTGGGGGTCTGGGGGCGCTCCGTCTCTGGGCCGGGGCCCTGGCCGGGCCTCGGGGCCTTGGGTCCTGGTTTGTGTGTTGCCGGGGTTGTGGGCGGGTGGGTGCATGGGGGCCCATCCCTGGCGCGGGGTGCTGCTGGTGTGTCGAGCCGCCTGTGGGGCTCTTCAACCGGTGGGGGAGATTGTTAGACCTTGCAGGAGCTTTCCTCCCCTCAGGAACTCTCTGCAGGAGGGGGAGATACAGGAGAGGTGGAGGAAGATCTCAGCCTGGGCGTCTATTGTCTCATGTAGTCTGGAAGACAAGTGGATGGTGGGGTGGGTGCAGTTTTCTCTGTGGTGGGGTTGGGTGGACTGTCCCGGGCTCTGTGGGGCCGGGGGGCACTGCTGCGCTGGGCCCCGGTCTGGATGGGCCTGAGCCCCCTTTCCCTGGCGGGTCGTGGAGTATGGGAGTGCCTACTGGGGTCAGTGGGGGAGCTGGCCCCAGGGAGGCGTCACCTGCCCCTCCCTTCCTTCCCTCCCCATCTCCAGCTGCCTCCCTCTTCCTGCTCCACCACAACCACCCACACATGCAGGGCCTTGGAGTAGGAGTATGTCACCAGGGTGCAGAGGAGGCTACCCCCCCCCCCCGTCCCCTTCTGGCTACCTCTGCCTCAATTTTATCCCACAACTTAGACATTCACATTACTCACACCCTCATTACACATACTTATAGGATCTTGGGGATGGGCATGATACACGGAGTCCAAGTTACCATCAGGGTGTACACCTCACCCCTGGCATCGTTGCCCACCTCTCAATTTTAAATACACGTAGACATTGAGGGCTAGCAGGAGGGACTACGCGCTTACCTGCTGCTCTCTGGCAGGTAGCTCCATGCCCTCCTGGGTTTTAATTGCACCTTAGAACACACATGCATCAACACTACAATGAGCGGGTGGAGGGAGGTTTGGAGTCTTCTCTCACCCCCATTCTCTGCGGCCTGCTGGAGCGGGGGGGCTAGGAGGAGTTGGCCGTCCGGCTGCGGTCTGGGGTGTGGGGCCTCCCTGCTGCTGCGGAGTCGGGGTGGTCTGCCTCTCGCCATCGCAGGGAAAAGGGTAATACCACCTTGGTCAGGGTGCAGTTCCCCCCTCCAGGGGCAAGGGTACCTAGACCCAGTTTGTAGAGTACGCTTGGGGAGTGTGATTGTGTATACAGCGTCTCTTTATGTCTGTCTCCACGTCGGTTGAGTGTGAAGTGCACATGAGAGCATGAGGGTGGGAATGGATGTTTGTGTCTGTGTGTGCCTGTATGTCTGTGTCTATATGTC